GCATAGGGTTTGGGGGGCGGGGCTTGATGGGAGAGGGGCTGGATGTGAGTGGGAAATATTGTGTGATAATTTAAAAGCTCGATAAAAATTGAAATAAAATAAAAAGATGAAAAGGATTTATGCAAAAAAAAAGGAAGAAAGGGAATATACTAATGAATAGCTTTAGGAATCTCTCAGCAAGTTCATCAACTACATATAATAAAGATAGATGTACTCTAGATCCTGACTCTAAGCAATGACTGTAACTTTTGTTTTTTATCTTTCACTTTAGATAACAGCCATGCCAGTGGCAGCCAGTGGCAAATTCCTATCAGAAATTCAAGGGTTTTATCACCATCTACGGTTTTATATCTCCATTTCATTTTTAGCATTTCTATTTTCAGTATTTATCATTTCTATGTGTAGAGCAGAAGCATGTTTACCTCTTGACAAGGGAACTTTGTTATTACACTTCTTAATATTGTTTCAGTGTTATATAAACATAACCAATGTCCATGTGATAATTTTAGAAAGTGATACACAGATTTGGAAATTAAATAACTTGGTCGAAGGATATTCAAATTGGTCACATACTTTGAAGATATTGAACTTTGCAGAAAATAATTATATGGGAAAGTTATATATGGAGAAGTTCTACTTCTGTGAATGAGACAAATTTCATCCTTATAGAAAACAGCAGAAAGTACACAGACATGATGAAGTCATATACTTATTTATTGTTAGGAGAATTACACAAAACCAGATAGAAAAATTCTATTTCTTATACATCTGTATATAATTTCAGCATATAAATCTATTTTAAATTACATCTCTATTATATAGCTTATAAATATATAAATATGTATGCATAACAAATATTAAAATTTTATGTTTAATATCTGTTCTATATCTAGCATTAAAACTTTAAATCATGCCAACATATTTCCCTTTAAATTTAAAATGTTCCTTGTGAATAAACTTTAACAAGATGAAATCAATATATGGTTGATTAAAATATTCTAATTTATAGGGTTAAAATACCAGGAGCCAGGTAAAGGCAAAGGATACATGTAGGTAAAGGAAATACTAATTTTGGTCAAAATGTATTCTACTTGGATAATTTTATTCTTTAAAATATGCTCACCTAAAATGGTTTGATAGACAGCAAAATAAATAATTGTATCACTAGATTTTAACTTCCTAATGTAAGTATTCATAACAAAGTAAGTGTGTAGAAGTAACAAGAATGCCTTATAAACTAAAAGAATTAGGGAAATAGAAAATCATGACCACTAGAATGCCATGATATTATCTTAGTAAATATCTAGGAGTGGATACTAAAATTAGTTTAAGCAGAAACAGGATATTTGTATCATTTCAAAGCATCTTCCTCTATTTATTTATAAATTAAAAATGGAAAAACAATAACTTTAAATGGAGTTTGACTAACATCATAAAGATTAATATCACCTTAACACTACTAAACTGTGTAGACTTTATAGTGACTAATGTGGTAAGTTTTATGTTTTGCATCTTTACAATAAAAATATAACCACTGTTCTGACATATTAACATCACGTACTTGCTGATGTGATGCACCAGAGAGTGCACAGCATCATTTTTGTGGTACTATTTCCAATTAATGAATAACCTCAATCTAATCATGAGAAAATAAAATGATTCCCAAATGCAGAGACAGTTGTCTAACAACTGGAATGCCTCAAAAAATTAGAATATCATTCCTATTATAAAGATGATATAAAGTGATAGGTTTGTTTCATTTAATGTGAAAAAGGAAACTGCTGACAAATCTAGGTTTCCTCTCATTTATGTGTGTGTGCATGCATGAACATCACGCAATGCACTGGAACAACATTCTGATTCATGCAGGAAGGAGCTCTACTTCAAATGAACAGTACTGTAACTCACCTTACAAAAATATTAATAAAAAGAATTCATTATTGTTCTACATTTATTCACTTTACCTACTCTTTTTTTTTTGGAGACAGGATCTCCCTGTAGCCCCAGCTGGCCCGGAGCTTGCTATGTAGACCAGGCTGGCCTCAAACTTACAGACATCTGTCTGCCTCTGCCTCCTGCATATTGGGACTAAAGGTGTGCACCACCATGCCTGGCCTACTTTACCTATTCTTAAAATATTAAAGAATACATTGAAGATACTCATAGGTTATTCCAGTTCTACTCCAAGTATCTTCAACATTTAAAAAGGTACCATTAAGATTTAATATATTTCCGGCCACCAAGTAGACAGTCAGGTGGTGTCATTAGGTATTGATCATAAATTCAAGAACGAATTAAATATCAGTAAATATGATACGGGTTTTTTTTTCGGTCTTTTTGAGACAGGGTCTCCCTGTAGCCTCAGTTGTCCTGAAACTCACAATGTAGACCAGGCTGGCCTTCAACTCACAGAGATCCGCCTGCCTCTGCCTCCTGAGTGCTGGGATTAAAGGCATGCACCACCACGCCCGGCTTGATATGGTATTTTTAAGAAGCATTTTGAGAAGCACAAGTCCAACTACAAATATTGTGCCTTCTTGTATGAAAGGAAAGAAGACATATGCTGGTGAGTCTTAAAATTACATTTAAAGAAAAATGGAGAGCACATGGCTAAAGCCTCATTACGGCAAATTAATTTTCAGAGCATAGTTAGTAGTATGGTTAGCATCCTAGAACTATGCTAATGTTTTGATATTGGTTTTTCATCAACTTTAGGATGTGAGCACCTAGAATAGCTTATAAAGATTAAACAATCATGATGATAAAAAGCATGTATGGCAGAGTGCATAGGGTTTGGTGGGGGGATAGGAGGAGGCATGGATGAGAGAGGAGGTCTGGATTTGAGTGGGAAATGTTGTATGAAAATTTAAAAGGTCAATAAGAAAAATAGCCTAACCTGCCTAAACCCCGGTGGATGAAGTTGCACTGAGGGATATCTAGGGACACTAACTTTACATGATAGGCCTTAACACAAATGACAGAATGTATGAACTCTGGGGGTGGGGGTGGGGGGCTATGGGAAGGTGCCAAAGGGGAAGGAGGTATAAAGATGATTTTCTGTATGAAATACATTAAAATTCAATAAAAAATTAACAAAGTAGCCTAACTTGTTTCTCCACTCCAATTCATTTATGCATGATTTATTAGACATAAATACTACACACACACACACACACACACACACACACACACACACACAAAACAGCCTATAGAACCTGATTTGTGTCCTCAAATGTCCTTCAGCATGGGTTCATCCACTGGGTCCACCAAGAGTCCCATCCCTGTAAGACTGTCTCTTCACCTCTCAGCAGCAAACAATTACCAAAAGTTTCTGAGGTTGTGTTGGAATTTCTTACTCACTGTCCCATGTCTATGCTAGGATTTTGTCTGTTTTGAGGTTGCATAGGACTTTTGCATGCTGTCACCATTGCTGTTAGTTCATAAATACCATCAAACATAGCAAGTTCCAGGCCAGCTGGGGCTACAGAAAGACCCTGTCTCAAAAAAGACTTCCCCCACAAAAAAAAAAAAAAAAAAAAAAACCAGAAGTTTAGTCCAGGAATATTCCCCAGAACTGTTAGTATAGTTTCTTAAGGGTTGTTTGGGGACTTAACCAACCTTCAAATCTCTCCCATATCCAGATATCCTTGCCTGACCATCCTTGCCTAAAAATCACAAAGATTCAATAAAAAATTAAAACATTATTTAAAAAGAAATACATCTTTTTCAGGGCTGGAAAGGGGACTCGGATTTGGTTCCCAGCACCCACGTGACAGATAACAACCATCCATAATTCTAGTTCCAGGGGATCTGACAACCTCTTTTGCCCTCTACAGGGCATGCATGGGTGCATTTACACACATGCAGACAAAAAAGTCATACACATTAAAAAAAAAAAAAAGAAATGCATTTTCCCAACATTTATCCTGCTATCTCTGCAGAATGCACAGAAAGGGCCTTACCATCACATCTAGGACTACCTGAAAGGACATTTAACAAGCATTGATGAAATTTTTTCTTTTGGTGACATATTTTATAGTTGTCCTTCAAACTAAAAAAATAGTTAAAAATAAACCTTGTCTGGCACTTAGCACAAAATAGTTTAAAGTATTCCCAAACTGATTGACTACAACAGGCCTCATTTATTTATATCCTCACCCACCCTTCATTTTCCATGTTCAAAAAACTGTTCTCTGGTCAGGCAAGGATATCTGGATATGGGAGAGATTTGAAGGTTGGTTAAGTCCCCAAACAACCCTTAAGAAACTATACTAACAGTTCTGGAGAATATTCCTGGACTAAACTTCTGGGTTTTTTTTTTGTGTGGGGGAAGTCTTTTTTGAGACAGGGTCTTTCTGTAGCCCCAGCTGGCCTGGAACTTGCTATGTAGACCAGGCTGGCCTCAAACGAAGAGACCTGCCTGCCTCTGCCTCCCAAGTGCTGGGATTAAAGGTGTGCACCACCATGCCCAGCTTCTTTCTTTTCTTTCTTTCCTTTCTACTTTATCCTTCCTGTCAACATGAGTAAGAACCACCATTTTTAGCAGGTGTGTTCATGATTATGAGTGATGACATGCAAGTTAATTCAGAGATGATCTCCATTTATTGGGGACAAATATAGAAATTTCTGAATATTAAACTACTTCTCTGTTTGGTTAAACCTAATTTTTAATCAGAATTGAAAGTTAGTTCTCCTCCCTATACATGTATAACTTTCCCCTGGAAAACAATTTCATGGTAAAATAACCAGCAACCTCTATGAAACTAAGCCTTCTCAGGTCAAGACCAGTGAACTTCCATAGCAAACATTCATATCTTGCTTAGCACACAAAAGAGGGAAAAGCACAAATTACACACAGTGACATTTCTTTAAACAAAATTCCAAATGCATTTATGATCTAAGGATCAGGATAATTATTTTGTACTAAGCCAAGCATCAGTAAGAGTTTCCCATTTTCACCATAGTTGCAGTTTATTACCATTTTTGTTTCAGTGAGGCTGCTCTTTGCAGACTAAGTATAACATTGTTTCTCTCGTTTTGCTGAGGCCTGTTAGTGAAAACTACATGTAGGCATCAGAGACACAGGCATGGGCCTCTGAACCCTGAGGCCTATTTGTATTAGACTCTGGAGGTAAACTTGAGCCATCCTCTGTTTTTGCCTCTCCAGTGGCGTGGGGGAAAGGGAAATTGGGCATAAATCGCTTAAGAAACCGGAACTCACTATTGCCAGTTCCAGTGACTGAGCACATATCATATGTACAAGGCTGGGCTAAGGAACCACTGCCTCCTCCTTGTACCAAGTTGTTAGGGAAATTACAGTCGTCATAGAAATGTTCTTGAATTGTAAATTTTTGTCTGTGTTTAATTTTCTGGTAGAGATGTATAATGAAGATTGTGGTGACAGTGAAGAGAAAAAGGAAAGAAAGAACAGCCAGAGAAATGACCAAATATTTTGTGATTGGATTTACCTTTCTAGAATGCTTGGATGGATCCTGGAACTGCAGGTAGGGCTCTGAAAAGCCATCTACCAGCAGAATGTTGAGTGAGGTAGTAGTGGAGAGAGCTGGTTGGCCATGATCCTGAACAAGAATGATCAGTTTCTGCATCATAGGGTCTCTCTCAGATATCTTTCTTAATGTACGGATTTCCCCATTTTGTCTTTGAACAGAAAATAAGCCAAGGTCAGTGGCTTTGAGTAAATGATATGAAAGCCAAGAATTCTGTCCTGAATCACCATCAACAGCCACCACTTTGGTCACCAGGTAGCCTGCTTCTGCAGCTCTGGGCACTAGGTCATTACAGGGCAAAGTGCCATTCTGTAGTGGATACAAGATCATGGGACGATTGTCATTATCATCCAGGACAACCACTCTGACAGTAACTTGGCTACTCAGTGATAGAAAACCCCCATCAGTTGCCTTCACCACAAACTGAAAATCTTGAATGGCCTCATAATCCATGGTTCTCAGTGCATACAGCTTCCCATTGTCAGAATTTATGGAGATGTAAGCAAAGACGGACAGATCTCCACTTTGTGGAGGCAGCAGAGAATATGTTACTTGGGCATTCTCACCCAGATCTAGATCCTCAGCATGGACTTTGCCAATAAAAACTGCGGGACTATTGTTTTCTCGAACAGTCAAGATGTACGAATCTTCCTGGAACACAGGAGGATTGTCATTAATGTCAGATATTAGCACCTCAATCACAGTCTCTGTGGACAGGTTGGGTGGTCCGGTATCCATGGCAACAAGGGTGATGTTATAGCCAGCAACATCCTCCCTATCCAAGCTTCTGTCAGTGACCAGCGAGTAAGAATTCCGGAAAGTGTGTTTCACTACAAAAGGAGAGTCTTCCCTGAGGAAGCAAGTGATTTTTCCTCCTATTCTAATATCGCGGTCTCGGATAGTGAAGAGGGCCACTACGGTCTGTAGTGGTGAGTCCTCAGGGAGAGGGCTGGACACGGAGGAGATTGTCACTTCAGGAGGGTTGTCATTTACATCCACTACCTCCACCAGGACTTTACTGTGAGCTGAGAGACCTCCTCCATCTGTAGCTTGAATATCAATGTCGTATGTTTCTGTAGTTTCAAAATCTAGGAGCCCTCGGAGTCGAACCTCTCCAGTTTGAGAGTCAATCTGAAATGTCTGGAGAATAGCCTCTGGATTTTGAGCTAAAGAATAAGTTATTTGCTTGTTGGTGCCCTCGTCCAGGTCCGTGGCAGTGACAGCTGCCACGAAAGAACCGTTGGCGCTATTCTCTGGCACCTGAGCACGGTACACTAAGCGAGAGAACTGGGGCACGTGGTCATTGACATCTAGCACCACTACTCGGATGTTGGCTGTGCCAGACTTGGGCGGGGACCCACCATCCACTGCAGTAATGGTCAAGTTGACTTCAGACTGTTCCTCTCTATCCAGGGGTTTGTCAAGCACAAGCTCAGCATATTTGGGCCCATGGCTGCGGAAACGCGTGTGCAGGTGGAAATAGGCATTTGCACTCAGGGTGTAGTTTTGGAGACCATTCAGTCCCACGTCCAGATCCTGGGCACTCTGCAAAGGAAAGCGTGAGCCCAAAGGGGTGCTCTCTGGAATTTTTAAAAGAGGCTCCTTGTTTAGAAAAACCGGGGCATTGTCATTGATATCAAATACCCTGACTTCAGCACGGAAGGATTGCAGTGGCTCCGCCAGAATAATTTCAAAGTGCAGAACGCAAGGGTCAGCTTTGCCACAAAGTGCCTCACGATCCAGTTTCTCCTTTACGAACAAATCTCCTGTTTTGCGGTGGAGCCGGAAATGCAATTTGTTGCCCTCAGAGACCAGCCGCGCCCCGCGTGAAGCTAGTTTCCCTACCTCTAGCCCTAGGTCCTTAGCCACATTAGCCACAAATGAGCCGCTTTCCATCTCCTCCGCCACGGAATAGCGGATGGTGGCCGTATCTCCCACACATACACACCAGAGAAGCAGAAGAGAGCCCACTTGCCTGTTTTGCAAAGGTTTTCTGCACGCAACTGCCATAATTGCTCACAGGTGCACTTCTTGCAGCCGCCAGCTGTCGAGGGTATAACTTTCACTTTTGCACAGCAGGCTCCTGAAATACCGGCTCTCCTATTACCTACCTCTAACCGCAGCGCCACCAAAGACAGGCTAGTCCAGCCAGGTAAGATGTTTTGCACTTGAAAGAAAATTTGCATTGAGTAATTTAACTCCCTAGTCTATTGAATGTATTAATAGGTATGTCCTCATTCCACAGAGTTGGGCAGAGGTTGGAAGTTTGTTGCTAAAGCAACCGTTGACTCGCCTGTTAATTCCCTTTCAGGAAAAAAGTCCTTGGGAATTGAGAAGCCAATGAGGATACTCGCTCATGCTGAGGTCACTGTATCTGCTGGGGCCCCTTGCTGCAATGAACAAACAGCAAGGAGTTAAAGCTACATCTGCACGCTCCACAGCCCACCTGGAGACCAAGGAAAATGAAATGGCTGTCTTCTGAAGCACAAATGAAACCTGTGGGGCGATAGGAGTGGGAAGTATAGAGCAGGGCAATGTGGAAGAGGTCAACAGAAAGAGAGCAGGCAGATACCCTTAGGAGCCTGAGGTCCAGTGGGAACATCGATTAGATGCTAGGCCAAGTGACCTCTTGGTTTGCACAAATATATTGCTTGACCAAAATCATCAAAATGCCAAGGAAGCAGCTGACTGCTTGTTTCAGGATTAACATGGCAGTTCTATTTATTAGACACGATTTCTATGAACTGGCAGTGTGATAAGTGATTTATATGCAATATCCAATTTAATCATTGCAACAATCCTATGAGAAAGGCACTATTTCCCGCTTAAAAGCTGAGGAAACTGACAGGAGAGGTTTTGTCACATTTCAAGATCCCGTAGCTTATCAATATTAGAGATAGGATTTTTTTAATTTTATGTGTGTATGTGTATACATGGTGTATTGCCTGCATGTATGTAAGTGTGTCCGTGCAGTGCAATGCCTGCAGAGGACAGAAGAGGCCATTGAATCCCCTGGAACTGGAGTTATGGACAGTTTTTAGCTGCCATGTAGGTGCTGGGCTTTAAACCCAGGTCTTCTGTAAGAACAGCCAGTGTTCTTAACTGCTGACCCATCTCTCTAGCCCTAGAGATATTTATATGTGTAGTTTCATCTGACTCAAAGTTGATGCTTTTAATCAATGTATTGCTCTGTTTCCTGATAATATAGTGGATAAATCAAGTGAGGATAAATGCAGGACTTTGGATTTCAAAATAGGAATATGAACTCTGATCCTCCTTCCCTATCTTTTTTTTTTTTTTTTTTAAGTCAATAAAGCTAAGGTCCTGGGTTGGGTATGTTGTTCAGTGGTACAGCATTCACTAGCATACACAAGGCCCTGGGTTCAATCCCCAGTACCTCAAACAAGCAACCCAAGGCCCCAAATAATGTAACATAAAAATTCAAACTCTTCTGACACTGTCTCATACTGGTTATCAAAAGCATTTGATTTCCCATTTGCCCTCAGCATTTTAAAGCCTAGGTGCTCTATAAACAATTGCTGCCAATTAAGAGAAGTTTAAATCGATTTTGCAAGTGGGCACAAAGCAGAAAGTATATAAAATATTAAGCTGAGTATGGTGGTACATGCCTGTCATTCTAGCATTTGGGAGACAGAGGCAGAAGGATTAGGAGTTCAAAGCCAGCTTTGGCTATATAGAATAAGTTCAAGGCTAGCCTGAACTACATGTGATCCTATCTCAAAAAATAAAAAATACACAACATATTAATAATATCCTGGCATCATTAACAGACCCTTCAATCTCTATCAGATATCTTAACACTTGGAGTCAGTGTGTACCCCTACATTGTTTATTTAATCATTTAACTGAATGAGAGATTGATGGGTTCATTCATTTTCATTATAAGTTTATAGAAATCTAATATTGCCACCAGAAAACCCGCTCTAGTTAAATAATGTTACGTTGACTGACTTTATTGCAATAAGGAAAACTTCACACCTTGAGAAATATGAGGCACTTCAGTAAGAAGTTGTTATAAACAACATGTGGTACTTGGCTGTATGTTAGGTGATTTGGGAGAGATTTGAAGTAGGATTTTTAACTGAATGGGATGCTGTCATAAATGGAGCTAATTCTATGACGAGTATATTAATAATTTTTATGTAAAAGATAAGAAATAGGTGAGGCTGAAACAGTTACTTTGACAAAATTCTTACCTTCACCAGTAAGTTACAGATAGTAATATTTGCAGGATAAAGTCATTTGGTCATTGTTATGGGTTATTTTTTTTGTCTGTGTGTTGACCGATCATATGGTGCTTTCTCCTGATCCATCACCAGAGAGAGAGAGGCCTTGTCTAAGTGTTTTATAGGATTATTTTTGTTCAACAGGAAAACATTCTAACCTATTTGTATCAGGCCAGCTCCTATGTGTCAAGGACTTTTATTTTTTTACTCACTCTATTATTGTACTATATGTAATTAGACATGTCACCTACTGTACATATGCACACATTTGGTGGAGAGTGTCTATCTACAAGTGACACTACTGTTACTTGTGTGCTCATTTTTAGTTTTATGTGGTAATGAAAAACTGCTAAGAAGTATTAATATATACTGTAGTCAGCAATGTAACTACTAGTTGTTGAATTTTATCCAACACCTAGTGTCTTTATTGCTAATAACACAATGCCATGGGGTAATTTATTTTAAAAATAGGTTGATTTTGTCTCTCATGATTTCAGTTCAGGTTCTAGGAGCTATTCTACTGATGACCTTCATGTTGGCAGAGTCCTAGGCAATGCAGGACGTCATATGGTGAGATAGACAGGGATCACAAAAGAGATCTGGACTTTATATCTGACCCACTTTTGAGATAACTACTAACCATATTATACATGTATATGTATATATATAGTTGATAGGCATCCTTGTTGATTTCATAATGTAGCTATTGTTAGTAACGTTGCAATAAACTAGGATGAAGTCAAGTGTGGTGGTGCACACCTTTAATCCCAGATCTTGAGAGGGAGAGGCAGGCAGATACCTGTGAAATTAAGGCTAGCCTGGTCTGCATAGCAAGTTCCAGACCAGCTGCAGAGACCCTGTCTCCAAAAGACAAAACAAAACAAAAAACCCAACAATAACAAAACAAACAAAAAACAAACAAACAAAAAACCCACCTAGGATAAGAAAGTGTCTGTAGTATGCTGGTTTACATTACTTTTAGGTATATTCCCATGAGTGTTATATAGCTAGAGCATACAGAATTACTTTTTTGAGGAAACTCCATGCTGATTTCCATAGTGACCACGCTGTTTACATTCCACCAGCACTATATAAGTATTCTTTTTCCTCGTTCCCTTGTTAGCATTTCTTTGTTGTTTTAATGGAAGCCATTTTGAGAAAGGTAAGATAGAATCTTAATATAATTTTGTTCTGCATTTTCCCTGATGATTAAGGATGTTGAACATTTTCTTATGTATCTCTTGGCCATCTGTACTTTATCTTTTGGGCAGTATCTATTCATTTTATTTGTCCATTCATTGATTGTATTATTTATGGGTAGAGAAGGGAGTTGGTGTTTAATTTTTTAGTTCTTTATATATTCTGTATATTGATTCTATGTCAGATGCATATCTGGCAAATATTTTCTCCCATTATATAGGCTGTCTTTTCATTCACTGTGCAGAACTTTTAGTGTGATTTCATTCAGTTTCATTTGCCAATTATCTTTAAGTGTTTTGCTTCTATCAGTTTCATTGTTTCAGTTCTTCCATTCAGGTTTTTCATCCATTTGAATTTATTTTTGTACAGAGTAAGAGATAGGAATCTAGTTTTACCATTCTCCATGTAAATATCCAGTTTTCCCAGGATCATTTGTTGAAGAGTGTCTTTTCTCTAATGTATGTTTTTGACATTTTGTCAAAAATTAAGTCCCTGCAGCTGTCTGTGTTTATTTCTGGGATCTCTATTCTATTCAATTGACCTACATGTCTGTTTTATGTTGATACCGTACTGTTTTTTGTTACTGTGCTCTGTAATATGACTGGAAACCAGGTACTGTGTTACTTCCAACATTGTTCAAAATTTCTTAGGCTCTTCTGGGTATTTTATCTTTTTAGTGGATTTTTTTCTATTTTTTAATGAATATTATTGTGATTTTGTGGGAATTCCATTGAATCTATAATCACTTTTGGAAGTATATTCAGTTCACAATATTAATTTTGCCAATCCATGACCATGGGATGGTTTTCTATCTTCTAGTGCCTTCAGTTTCTTCAGTGTCTAAAAGTTTTCATTGTAGAGGTCTTTTATCCCTTTAGTTGGGTTTAATCCTGGAACGAGGCCAGCCTGGTCATGGCTTACAATATTTTAAATGTGTTGTTGAATTTGCTTTGCAAGTATTTTGGTGAGAAATTTTGCATCCGTATTCACCAGGAATATTGGTCTACAATTTTATTTTTTGTGTGTGTTACTCAGTTTTGGTACCAGCATAATACTGGCTTTATTAAATGAGTTTGTTAGTGTTCCTTCCCTTTCTACTTTATGGAATCATTTGAGGAGCATTAGTGTTAATTCATCCATGCACTAGAATGCAGTGTGAGTCCATATAGTCCTGGGCTTTTTTTTTTTTTTTTCAGTTGAGAGACTTTTTATCTATCAATCTCA